AGAGAAAAATAAGTTTATATAATAGGTTTAAAGACTTAAACCTGGTATTAAAAGGATCTCTTTTCCTAAGCCCAAACCCAATAAAGAATTAAGTACTTAAGAGAAATCCTACTGCGACTCTTCATGGAATAGGTCCAAACCACCTACGGGCCCAGGGGTGCTGCCCCCTCAACCCCCCGCTCACTCACCGTGGGGGAGCGGGTTTCCTAAATGCTTCTGCGTGACCCATTATTTTTGAAGTGGTCGACAACTCCAACATCATTGTTCGTGTTTATTCTAGAAAAATTTAAAAAAAATAAAATAAAATGAATTGGTTCCGTAGTTATACGTAAAATACATTCATGTATAGACCTATTGGAATTAAGTATTACTATTGAATCATTAAACTTGTAGGTTAAATAGTACCTTTTAACATACTACAACAAAAATACTTATTTATGAAGTCAAATAGTAACTTAACAGACCACAATAATTTATCACATAATTATATGATGGATATAAATGAGATCATTGATCAGCTAATAATATTTGTTTTTACATTTGGGATGATGGTTTCAAACAAGCTTATATGTTGGTAATATTTGTTTTTATATTTTAGTTGGGTGAAATAAAAAAATATATATATTTAAAGATCAGTTAAATAATTTGTTTTTTAAAGTCATTTGGATCTCAAGTGAACAAACTATATGAAAGAAAACATTATATAATTTAATAGAAGAAATTATACATATAGTATTTGTATGGTAATTATCATAATCCTTAATATGTTTGGAAAGTCTTGCGAAATGGTTTTGAAACTAATATAGGTTGATATATTTATGAAAACCTAGGGGATTTTTTTATGTAATTTACCCATCGTCTTGTGTTCAGAAAAAACCCAAATGAAAATATGGGAATTGGAATAGAAATGGGGCAAAACAGGGCATGCATGTAGGCCTCCACCACTCTCCACCCCATTTTGGATTTTAGTCCACATTACTCAAATTAATTAAAATGAGGTGGGGGTGGGGGTGGGGATGACCACATCCCCATACGGAGATTGCTTTACCCAACCCCACCTGATTCCGCCTTTGTTTTTAAGCCAAGTGAGGATGAGCATATAAAATTAACACATAGTCACATACTACAGAAATATTCACATTAAAAGTTAATAACATATCAATTAAAGAAACAATTACCATATAATGGAGTTTATGCCAAACAACGAAGGATAAATAAGATTTTTAAAGTGGTTTGATAGGTTAAAACCAAGTCCACGTCTACTGTTATTTTATTATTTGGACTGAAGTATATGCAAATAGATTACAAGGAGGGAACTGTAATAGTGAGCTCACGAGGTTTAACTAAGTAAGCTCCTTGCTTAAGTATGTGTTTCCAAGTGTTTTTTACAGGGTTGTGTATGTGCATATGTCTATCTCTCTAATTAGAGGTGATGCCCTCCTTTTATATGTGCGTTCTGACACTGGTTAAGAGTTGGTAGATTACGGGATAGATTACACATATAATCCCCCCTAATCTGGATCTAAGTAAGTTTTGCCTATATTTAAGCCAGAGTAATGATGCTTAGGATTGGTGGATTTATTGATCAAGTTATTCACTGTGGGAGCGACACGCGGGGCGATCTCGTTCACCCGATCTTGGCATAGTCTTTGGATAGCTGGCGCAAATTGGACCATAGAAAATTACGTACAATGGATAAAAATAACCGTCCACATATTGTAACAATATCAAGAAGTAAAAAAGTTTAAACAAATCATGGCAAAAAGAAAAAAAAATTACAAAGACATAATTGTAAAATAATTTTACAATGTGCAATAGCATCATTTAAATGTAATTTTACAGTGCCCTTTTGATGTGAGAATTAATATTAATACTGTTACAAGAATGGAGTGGGATCAAAGTGGCCGGTGAATACTAAACCTATCCTTTCCTTGTTTCACTGTGAGAATTAGATGCTTCCTTCTCCCGATTAATTTCTCAAATTAACACTCCATCCATATTTCAATAGAGACGGATTTCCTCATAGACCTAACCCCTCAAGAAATTTTTTTTTTTTTTTTTTTTAATGATCAGAGTGTTCATGCCAGTTTATGCGCATCTCAATTAATCCCCGAGATTCATTGAACACTCTACAAACCTAATGCTCTAAGATAAGCTACAAATATGATAGATAATCTCAAGATTTAAATTCAAAAAGTCAATAAAAAAAAGCAAACATTCTTGACCGTTAAACCACGCCTTAAACTTAATTTTTAAAAGGAGTTGGTAACGTCAACTGTAGCATTTATTAACTTGGAAGTATTTTGGATTTTAGACTTTATCAGATAGAAACGGAGCACGATGGTTCATCAATAGAGTGGAAAACAAATTGGATGGGCTAACAACAAGCTGACCATATTGGCCCACTGAAATGATGAAGCTTCTGAAAACCCAACAAAATTATATGAATAAAGGATCCAAATCCATAGTTTATAATGCATCAAATGTAACAAGTAATTCTTTGTAGAAATTTTTCATATTGTTGTCAATGACATATGCTTACATAATTCTAGTGTTTTAGGGATAAAAAGTTCACATTAGATGATGGTTTTCAAATTGAAATTGAAAATGAAATTGATTGGTTAGGGTTGGGGACAAGAACCGACCATATGGTGAGCCAAAAATTAAGACTCAAGTCTCGCTTTCAAAGGGTGAAGAACCCACGTGAAAAACAGTGAAGGTCAGTTTTCAAAGAGTTGTCTTATCCTTGACATAACATGTCCTATAATAAAGCACATCTATTCGGAACCGCTGCTCCACATGCCCATTACTGTAGGTCCCAGACTATTTTTCTTGATCTTCCGAACCATCTCAGCCATTCTAAACCACATGCCTCCGAAGTCCGAACCCAATTGCAGGTTTTTATAAATTAAAAAAAAAAAAAAATTATTCCCTTCTCTAATGCCAAATTCCAAATCAACTGTTAATTAGCAATTGAATAGTATCAATTGAAATCAATTTAATGTTAATAACCCATAGTTAATTTTATGGAGTTGATAATGTAATATGATATAGAGTCCTATAATATCCTCAGTATTAACCTCATCCGCTTCATTAAGTTTTAAAAGTCTCCCTGAAAAACTTTTTGAAAAATATCAAACCCTCTTACAGGAGGGTTACGAGGGTATTTAATACTTTCTGAAGGAAGTAGAAAAATTTAATTATGGAGATTTCGTTCGATGAATTTAATTATGAAAATCACACAAGGGGAAAATGAAATAAACCCATATGATGTATTTCACAAAAACTTATTTTAGCAAGAATACTCCACCTTAACATTATCTTTATGTATAAATTCTTGTATCACAGCTCAAGAATTGACTAAACAATAACATAGTGATCCATCTTGAGCAGTTGATTATTAGCATGGTTAATTCCTGATGTGTGACCTGGAAAATAAGGAAAGATGGCAGTAGGGTTTGAATGAAAACAGTAAATGTTGAGGTACCATTAAAAATGTGGTGGCATAATGACTTTGTGGTGGGTAGATAAGAAATTACCTTTTTCTTTTGTGAATTAGGTTAAATAACATAGGCCACAATTTTTATGGAAAGCATTAAACTAGGAGGAGTGAAAGGCCGGGTTTTATATCATACATATTTAAAGTTTCTTTTTCTGAAAAGGAATAGACCTAAAAATTAGCTCGAAAATGGGAGCACAAAGGACAATTGTAGCTGGGTCCAATCTTTAAAAAGTAAATGGAGTATGGTGAGTATGATGGTCCTGAATTTTCACGTGCTCTGTTGCCTTTATTTTTTTTTTTTTTTTTTTTATGATTGAAAGAAAGGAATCTCTAGGTGCATTTTCTACGTAACTGATGATGATGAACAGATTACAGATTGATCGTTTCAAGTGAAGAGCTTATTCTTTGATAAAATATGTGAGAATGTTCAAGAAGAAGACAGTGGCGAGTGGTATTTCTGGCCTATCCATAATATTTGACAGGAGCATTTCATCTGCAGAAACGTCAATTAAATCATAAAATATGAAGGGAAACTTTGTAGAGTTAAACCAACTTTAGACAACTTAAAAATTCACTCAGGACTCTTAGGTGTATTACTCAAGAGATCTTAAGTTTGAATCATCGCGATTACTAACAATGGATAGCCACTGAAGGTTTACCTGACCATTAACTTCAGGGTTCCAAAAGACTAGTTAAAATACGCACAAACTAATCCGAACATACTCGATACCAAAAAAAAAAAAATTGTAGAGTTATTAATGAAAGACATCATTACCCTGAGATTTAATTAAATAACAAAAATACCCTTGAAGTTAATGAAATAACAAAAAACTCCCTTTCATTAAGTTTAAGCTGTTAAAATAAAATATAGAAGGGAAGAGATTTAATTGTATGTGTACAATATGAATGAGTACAAAAATGAGCCCACAAATATCAAACATTTTAAGGAAGGATTTAAATTAAATGCAGAACAGCTTTGTTAGGGTCCAAAGTCTGTACTTGACCGCGTTGGCAGAATAAGAGGGGTCATGCAAACAATGAAATGAATGCATTAAAGGTTTATTAATAATGTAGCAAAGGTCAAGTGTGAATTGACATACGAAGCCTCTACACTTCTACTATCTTATCAAAATTATTCCCTCTATCCACCGCCCAAAACAAACCTGTCTCTCTCCCCTTGATGGAAACATTATGTCTTCAAATTTAATAAATGTTTAATTGATTATTAATTAACTAATTTTTATTCTATAATTATGCTCTTTTCATTTCAAATTTTGGGTTTTCGTACAACGTTTTTCTTTTCTTTTATTTTTAATTTTAAAAAGTCAATTTTAATTTTTTTTAGTAATGTGGAAAATAAATTTTAACTTTAATCATTAGCCTGATTATGTGGATCACGGGAAAGGGGTAAAAATGGCAGAAAACAGACTAGGCGGATCAAATCTGGCAATTACAGAAGAACTAGGAATTAAATCATACAACCGAATAACACCCTGGCTTCAATAATCACACGGTAAAGCTAAACATTTCAGGGCAAAACAACAGCGGTGATGGTGATGAAGATCATGATCATGATGATTGGAAAACAGATCAACGCTCATAAATTAAACACCAAATTTTAAAAATAGAAATAGAACCCCTCAAACAAATTAAATACACCAGGAAGAGAAAAAGCCGCGCGTGCCACCTTGATTTTTGCATACATGGCTTAGTACTCAGCGGTTGGCAGCTGCTCGTGTGAGCTGTTAATAAAGAAGAACTCGTACACGAGCCCAGCGAGCCCACCACCGACCAATGGACCGGCCCAGTAGACCCAGTGGTTGTTCCAGGTCCAGCTTACCAAAGCTGGCCCGAAAGACACAGCTGGGTTCATCGAAGCTCCATCGAAAGCTCCACCGGCCAAGATGTTGGCGCCCACAATGAAACCAATTGCAATTGGGGCAATTGTTCCCAAACTGCCCTTCTTTGGGTCAATTGCGGTGGCGTACACCGTGTACACCAAACCAAAAGTCATCACGATCTCGAAAACAAATGCGTTCCATACACCAACTCCTGATGATAGAGCAAAAGCTGACGTGGTCTGCGTAACACCAGATCATAACCCGATAATTAATTTCTAAAGTAACTGTAATAACTAACTCTTTCACTAATTAAGATTATTAAGAAGTGATAAACTTACCTGGCCGTTGGTGGCGAATTTAAGAAGCAAACAGGCGACGGTGGATCCGAGAAGCTGAGCGATCCAGTAGAGGATGCCACGTAGGAGAGTAATGTTGCCACCAACAAAAGCACCGAAAGTGACGGCAGGGTTGACGTGACCACCGGAAATGTTGGCTCCGACGGAAACGGCAACGAAAAGACCGAAACCGTGAGCAAGGGAGGCAGCAACAAGGCCAGCCGGGGTAGTGGAACCATTGTCAGTGAGCTTATTGAAGGCCATGCCTGAGCCTTCACCAGCGAACACAAAGATTAGAGTTGAGATGAACTCTGCTAAGGCAGCTCTTAAGGCGTCAGGGTGAGTGGCCTCATGGGGATGGCCAACGGCGATGTTTCTGATCGGCATGATGATCAAGATCAAGGGTAGAGATCGTGAGTGAGTGAGAGAAGTTTAGAGCTCACTGGAGTTTTGTGTAGTAACAGGTCTCCACTTCTCAAACTAGCTGTCGTACTTATATTCGAAGTGTGTGCACGTCGAAAACCGGTTTTAGCCAGTTTCCGGTAAATAAAAATGGAAATTAAAAAGAATTATTAATGTTGTGAATTGTGGATGATTAGTAGATTTGTGAAAAATAATTTTAGTAAATTGGGGAATAAGACGAGCTACCAGTTATAGTATGCACAGCTAAGCAGTCCACCGTTCATTGATGAAAAGATGAGTGACACGTGGACACATGAACGTGCGGCTGAAGTGGATTTTGTCTGCTGCTTTTTGGCCTCTGGAATGATCGAATAGCTTTGGACTGCAAATTTTTATTGACTGAAAATATATATTATATTTGTATTGAAGATATAAATGAGATAAGAGGATTAAGAAATGTGTGTGAGCTCCACGATAAGACTAAACAAATTGGCATGCATGATTTGACTTACTAGAGATTTATTTATTTATTTTTTTTTTTTTTTTTCTCTTCTCTTTTAAAGAATTGGAGTGTTGAAGTTAACTTACTCAAACTTCATCTAATTCTTTAAGATCTTAAAATTACTGATCAGATAAAAACTTCAGTTGTCACCTCTATTAGTAACTAAGGAGAGACTCGAATTCAAGACTCTTGAGTAATAACATTCAAGACTCTTGAGTAATAACATTCAAGACTCTTGAGTAATAACATTCAAGAGTCTCTGACGAATCACGACTTACTAAAGATGTTGTTCACTCTACTATTCGATATTGTAAATCTACTGTGAATGTTTTCAAGTTGTTTACAAAATAGCATAAAATTAGAAAAACATTAGCAATCACAATTTTTATCTTTTACAAAATTTAAGGATAAGATTAGCAACATGTATTTTTAAGGTATGTGATCAAATATGACAACCATGATTGTGGCTAATCACTAAGATTACACCAATCACCCAAAATCACTCAATCAATCAATTCTCTAATTGAGTGTAATTACATTATTGTGATTGACAATCACTCAATCAGTCAATTCCCTAATTGAGTGTAATTATATTATTTTGTTTTCTTATTGTATAGTTAAATTTTTTTATAAATAGATGATGTATTCATAATTCAAAATAATTCAATATGATACAATTGAATTCATTTAAAGATATCTGTCAAGCATACTCCGACCTTTCAATTGTCTCTCTCGCCCTCTCAAAGATATATCTCGGGCATTCTTTGACTTTCTTCAAATTGTCTTTCTTGACCTCTTAATTATGATATGACATCAGAGTTTCTAGATTGAATCAACTTCCGCTTAGCTAGCCTCTCTTTTCTGGCCTTGTAAGTCATACAGATACTCGGTTAGCACAATACTCAGCTAGCCTTTCTTTTTGTCCCTGCAATTCAAACAGATACTTGGTTAGATTTTCCAATGGCAAACAACCAAAGCTCAAACTCTGACATAATCACCAACATTTGCATGTTTTACGCAAGCTTGTGGCTTATAACCACAAGCTTGAGGGGAAGTGATGAATTATGATAGCCATGATTGTGGCTAATCACTAAGATTTCGCCAATTACCCAAAATCACTCAATCAATCAATTTTCTGATTGAGTGTAATTACATTATTATGATTGACAATCAAACAAAATCACTCAATCAATAAATTCTCTGATTGAATGTAATTACATTATTTTGTTTCTTTATGGAGCGTTTGGACTATATAATGTTTTATTATAGGGGTATATTATGTTAACGGAAAGAAAGATCACCTTGAAGATTATTGAGAATGTTTAGAAAATGTGTTTGGTTGGTTTAAATAAATTGGTGAATAATATATTTGGTTAGGAGGATAAATGGACGGGTATGTTATATAGATTACTAAATTGCCCTCCTTTTTAAATATTAATATAATAGCATTTTTTATTATTATTTTTTGAATCATTATTTTAACCCCTTATATTTAAAATTTTGCTAAAACACCTCAGCCATATAAAACTTTAATTTGTAGCAATATCACCCCCACTCACCTTAAGCCACTGTCGACAGCCAGCTACCGCCATCAACAGTCGACGGAATGGCACACTACTAGCCGTATATGGTCGGTCGTGTGCCGGAAAAGCCAAAAATGGTCTTGGATCACAAATTCATGGCCGAAAAACGACCAGATTTATGGCTATTTCACTGCCAAAGATGTGGCCATGAAACGGCCACAGATCTAGCCGTGAAACAGCCATAGAAACGCCAGATCCCATCGGTCATGCACTATTACAGCGACTGATGCCGGCGGCCGACAATGGTGAGTCACGGCTGGCAGTGGTCTTGGGTGGTTGGGGGTATTTTATTAACTTTTAAACTTTTTTATGTCTAGGGTATTTTAGCTAATTTCTCAAATGTTGGGGGGCTGGGGTAATTGTTATTTGGTAGACATTTGAGGGCAATTGTATCCAAAATGGTTTTTGATTAAGGGTAAAATGGGAAGAAAATCATAGTACCCCAATAATGTTTTAATAACACCCCCTAGCAAGGTAATAAGATTACCCTCCACATTGCCAACAGTAACCACTATTTGCAATAAAAAATTATCGTAATATTTTATTACTTGCAAACCAAACATAGGAATCTTGCAAAATAAATGAATATTATCCATGTTATCTTATTTACTCCCAATCCAAACGGCCTCTTATTGTATAGCTAAACTTTTGTATAAATAGTTGATGTATTCACAATTCAAAATAATTCAATACGGTACAATCGAATTCATCTAAAGATATCTCTTGAGCACACTCCGACCTTTTAGTTGTCTCTCTTGCCCTCTCAAAGATATGTCTTAGGCATACTCTGACTTTCTGCAAATTGTCTATCTTGCCTCTCAATTCTGACATAGTATCATAGCTCCTCTCTCAATTCTGACATTATGATGTTTTTTTTTTTTTTAAATTATTTAATAATGATAATAAAGATAAATTTAGATGGAATTTCAAATTTCATTTGATTGGATAAAATATACGGACTTAAAATAAGGTTTATTTCATGTTTCTTCTTATAAGATCGATTAGTATTAAACTTATTTGCTTGGTTCAAAAAAGTAATAAATACCTTTCTATCATGTTATCTTTTAAAAAATATTTAAAAATAATATTTAGGGGGTGTTTGGTTGGAGGTTATCCCCCATTATTGAGACAATGTTATCTTATATTACTTAGATTATCACGTTTGATTGTTAAGTAATATAAGATTCTGGTAATCTTCCAAAACCAATAGTAATTACTATTGGTTATATAGGTGGTAATTTGAATACCTCTATTTTCTTAGGTATTTTAAGATTATTTGGTAATCTTAATTTGTTACAATTTTACCTTTAACTATTAAATTTTTTGGACAATAATGCCCTTAGTTTGAAATTAATTTATATGATATTGCCATTATAATTTTATCCCCAATTAATTAAGATTTTAGATAGTAATGCCCTTATATCTAAAACAAATTGTAGGCCACCCAGGACCACCGCCAACCGCTGGCCACCACCATCGACTATTGGCTACCACCGTCGGCCGTCAGTTGATGTAGTCAGAACGACGCACGATCGGTCGAATCTGGCCATTTTTGGCCAGATCGATGGTTATAGATCTGACCGTTAACGGCTAGATCAATGACACACAACGCCGAAAAAGATCTGGCCATTTTCAACCAAATCCACAGCTATCTGGCTAGAAAAGACCAGATCGACGCACTGTCAACCAGATCTGACCAGATGTGCACCGTTTTGGTCACTATCGACGGTGGTGGTCGGCGTTTGCTAGTGGCTTGGGGTGGGTAGAGGTGATTTTGTTAGAGATTAAACTTTTATGTGGTTAGGGTGTTTTAGCAAAATCTCAAATATAGGGAGTTAAAAGAAATGATACAAAAACTAATAAAAAAAATAATATTATATTAATATTTAAAAATGAGGGTAATTTGGTAAGCTATATAACACACCTACTAATTTATTTCTCCCAACCAAACATATCGATATAACATACCCATCAATTTATTCCAATCTAATCAAACATATTTTCCTAAATATTTTAGTAATCTTCAATGTAATCTATCTTTTCATTAATATAACATTCTCATTAATACAATACTCCTTGAATCAAACGTATTTTAGTACTTTCTTATCAAAATAGATGAGTTTAAAGAAAAAATCAAATAAAATCACTAAAAATATGGGAATGTTATCGTTTAAAACAATTATAAAAGATTAATTATATAATCCAACATAAAAATATCGTGGTGTTTATAAGTTTCAATACAAATTTTCTCAAATGTATGAATTAAATACTTCAGTAGCTCGACATCCTAATTAATATTTAATCCAATCGAGTATCGAAAAGTTAATTAATTTTCACTTTGACTGACCTAATTAACTTTAATTTGACATGTGATTGTTTGATGATCTAACGGCTGATATTCGGCGCAGTGTTCCACAGGGATTAATTGGTGTGTTCACAAACATAATCGAATTGCTGTTGGATTAACTATTGGTAAAACGTGGAGTATAGTATATTATTAGTATTTGGTTTTATTCTTTTAAAAAATAGAAAGTTTGTGGGGTTACTAAGTTCACGCTTTCGTTAAAGGAATCTTTCAAATATTAATTGTCATTAACGCAGTAAAGGACGAAAAATATTTTCTTTAATTAATCTATTAGTTAATCAATCACCCATTAAAAGAAATGGATTTAAAAATATCGGTGGAGCTTGATGATTTGGATGAGTATACCTGTATCTTTGAAGTTTGAGACTTGGAATTGTGTATTTTATTTATTTGATATCTTGAAAAAAATGTTTTTAAATTATTAAAAGTGTTGTTTTACTATTTAAATTAAAATAAACGTTGCTTTGATGATTAGAGAAGCGTCTACACGTTTTCAGTACATCAACTATTATTTACTATAATGCTCAATCAGTTTTATTTATATACAACTAAGAAAATAAATAAATTTTGAATAATGTAAGATTGAAAAGAGATAAATAATAAGATAATAATAATATTATTTGAAAAA